GCAGCACACATTGTTCCAATGCCCGCAACCACTCAGAAAACACTTTACGTATTTCTAAAAAGTCTATCAAAATTCTTGGACTGCTTTTGCATTTTCAAAGAGTCAGTGTTGAAGGTCTACATTGCTGCTGTTCCTCCAACCATTGTGCACAGTGCTGAGACCTGGAAACAGTACCAAAGCCATGTCAAGGAACTGTATCATTTCTACATGACATGTCAAAAATATTTTTTGGAATTGAGTGGCAGGAAAAAAATCTGGACTCCAAAAGTCTGGACTCCAAAGCTCTCAAAATGACAAGTGCCAAGAGTCTTTTTGTTCTGCGCTTAGAATGACTCAACTTCGCTGGGCTAGGCATGAGTAGTTTCAGAATACTATAGGCAGTATTACGTTCTGAGCTGTCTTCACGGAAGAAAAAAAGTTGACACTCCAAAAAAGCCCTTCAAAGGCACCCTGAAAATGTCTATCTGAAGAATATCAACATTGATTCCTTCACGTAGGAGAGTTTAGCTCCTGAGAGGTCCAGTTGGAGAGCAGCAAGCACAAAGCGAAAATCAAACGCGGCTTTACGAATTAGAAATGCTGGAGTCAAAAAGTGAGTCCGCAAGATGTGCTCATTGACAAATGTAAGTGAACTTTTAAATGCTTAAAGTGTGTCAAACTCTTTTGTCTGGATAGATCTCACTGGTTTTTGCAGAAGCCACAAGTCATCGTACTCTGTTTGTTTTTTGTTTTTTTTACTGAATCCATTTCGCAAAATGTTCACCTCTACTGTAATGCTTTGGACATCTGTGCGCAGGTGCTATATGCAAGACGGTGTTGTTGAAGCCAGAGACATCCGCTGGTTGACCGGACGTGTTAAGTAGCAAGGACAATCCTCTATTCACGGAAATACCCTGGTCCCGTCCTCGTTTCGTTACAGAGTGGCATCAAAATGCTTACCTCCCTTTTTCCAACTATTATTAGATGTCAGTTTCGAAAGGTGTTGAGGGGACTGTCGTGGTCTAGAGGTAAAGGTGTTCGCCTCTCATTCAATAGGTCCTGGGTTCCAATCCGGATAGCGATGGGAATTTTTCTTCTCTTAAATCTTCTGCTTTCACATCCTTTCCTGCTCTCTAACAATGCTGTGTCTTCTGCTTTCGTCTCCACTTTCTGCCCCCGCCCCTTCACCTCCTTTGCCCCCTCGTCTGGGCTCCTGACTCTTTGTGCAATCTTCTTACTGCTACTCCTTGGCTCTTTCTTGCTGCTGTCTTTCAGCCACACCCTGATCTTATGGTAGGAAAGATCTACACCTAACCTTCTGGGACATGGACGAAATCTCGGAGGACCTGTGTGCGCACGTTAAAGACCCCTTGGAGGTCCAAAATCGATAATAGTAAGCTTCGGCCGTCCACCGGACAAATTTCGAAAGACTTACAACGGGAAAAGAAAAAAAAAGTGAATATGTTTTTAGATTTTACCACAGTATAAACTCCTGGAACTTCTATTTTGTCAAGTACACTACTGAAACCTGCAAGCTGGGCTTAACGTTTGCAACCATGTAAAATATGACTAGTTCACAGTTTATCGTTTAGACCGACAAGCTTTGTTTTCCGTTTCACATATGAGCTGTCCAGCATATCAGTGTTCTTATTGTACAAATATCCACAGCTGTGTCGTAGCTGTGTGGGCAACTCATTGTGTAGAACTTTGTCTTTAGGGGACCGGAATTCTTTATCAGTTTGAGGGTTAGAGAGAGGGAGAACGAGAGAGAGAGAGAAAGAGAGAATGAAAGAAAGGAAGAGAGAAGAGAGAGAGAGAGAGAGAGAGAGACAAAAAGAGATAGAGAGAACGAGACAGTGAGAAAGAGAGAGAGAGAGAGAGAGAGACTGGGTGAGAGAGAAACAGGGTGAGAGAGATGGGGGAGAGAAGGAGAGAATGGAGGGTGCGAGCGAGCGCGAGAGAGAGAGAGAGAGAGAGCGAGAGAGAGAGAGATTGAAATGGAAAGACGGAAAGAAAGAGACAGACATGCGAACAGACTGACAGACATGCATAATTTGTTTTCACTGCGTCTAATACCACCTCCCCCTCCCCAACACACACTTACACACACGCACATTCATCCTCTGTCATCCTCTACTGTCTCCTCAGCTCTGTTTTCCCTCGGTGTTAGCTGGAACCCAGACTGTGCAGTTAGGAGAATGCATAGAAATAGGATCAACTATATCAAGCTTTCGTCAATATACGTGGATTGTATTTTGAGCGCCACCTGTTTTGCGAAGGGTTTTCCCAGTGTACAGAAAACACGTCTGACGCAAGTGAACACGCAGTAATGACATTGCACCCTCTTAAAAAGGGGTAAAAATCCAAGGAAATATTCCTTTATTTCCTTTTCCGTTGTAAGCACTCTATGTGTTTTCGTTTTTACTTCGTTCGTCAATGACTAAAGATGTTGGATAATCGGAATGGCAGGTTTTGTGGAGAATACTGCATGTGCGTGTTTTTGGCATTAATTCAGAGAAATGTGTGCTTTATTTACTGCCAAGAGAAAACTGGAAACAGTGATGCGCGGTGATTGGGTTCAACACAAACGTGCGAGAATGGGGTGTGAACAGCGTGCTCTCAGTTTTGAAATCCTCTGCCTGCACGAGATTCTCTTGACGTCATACATTCGACTAGACCATAGATTTGTAGAATAATATCCTAGATCGTGCACTCCTTCCCTTTTCCTGGTCACTAAGGAGCACGTTATATGATTCAGTTTGAACGATATGAAAGTCATGGGTGTGAGAGGGGATTTCGGGTGGGG